AAGAGATACCGCATGGTTATTGGAGCCCGGCATCTCTGGTGCCTTGCCGCCTCTCATTCTCTTATCACAGGCTACCTAGAGTCTTTTGACAAAATAGCGTCTATCTCTCAATATCACTATCTACCAACATGAACCTCTACTACCGAGCACCTCATTTTCCCGTATTCCTTATCGGTCGAATATCAAATAAACATCCACTGCGCCCCGAAATGCAAGTGTCAATCCGGCAGAATGTTCTTTCCTTTCATTGTTCTTAGTGTCAACATTGAGGCGTGTTAAAAAAAAAATAGCCAATGTACGCACGCAATGCGCAGATATTGTGGTGAAGTGAATAGCACAACTCTAGAGAGAAATTTTCGGAAAACACGCCCCTCTACAAATAACATACAACACCATCATCAAATCTGCATATTAACAATTGAACGTGGTTGATACCTGGCGCAGACAGCATCCTCTGTCAGGAGAGGCCGGGGAAGCGACCAGGGCGTCTCCGAGACTCATATCGGCAGCGCCATCAACAACGGCTATCTAGATCCCCCACAATACCTACTCGCCCACGGAAGGCCTACCTAACGTACCTAGGTAGGTAGGTACAGGTACACACGGATACCAAATAAACGCGGGGGTCTGAACCGGGCTCGATCAAGTAGGTACTCTTAAGCAGGTAGGCACGCCGTGAATTCCTGGGCAGGCCGACATCCCCCCGCATTTCGCGACGGATCCGCCACGGCCGGCTACCTACCTACTTGCTTACCGACATGATGTAGTGTAATGTAGTGTAATGCAAGCTTACGGCGTCCGTCGTCCCGCCGTCTCTCTCAATCGGAGCTGCTCGAGACGGGTTTCGCCGTGCATTAGACGGAAAAGTATGATGTCACCAAAAAACCAGCCACATTACATTACATTAACTTCGCGCAGGTCGAAATTACGAAGTTGCAGGAGAGATGGGGGACGCGAAAAATCGGGCGATGTAGTCTAGCACGTGAGATGTGGCGATGTCGAGGACCAAAAACGAGAGAGATCGCATTTGCTCTCTTGTCCTTGACACAACGCGCTTTTTGGTTCGGTTCTTTTTGCTTTAATTTTCTCTTAACTAGCCGAACTTGACTGACTTGACTTGCTGAGCCACACACAAACAAGCGGGTGAGCGATTGATTGCAAGCTGAGAGGGAAGGAAGGATTTCCGGGTGCTGCCGAGCAGGATTTCCCCTCCGCCCGACAGGTAACGCTGGCTGGGCCAATGAACAACCCCCAACATACCTTACCTAGGATTCGGAACCTGGAGGGCTTCGAGAAGGACTCTGCATGAGCCGCGTCGGCACCTCGAGGCACTTACATATGTACGGACATAGAGTGCACTTGGCGTAGTCGATTCAAGAATAATACAGAGTAGCACAGATGAGAAAAAAGAGAAGTCAAGCGCCACATTGTGGCTTTATATTATAATATTTTTTGCTAGAATGGGCAGTAAAAAAGCTCTATGGGGGGGAGAGAAGGGGAAGAGAAGTCAAAAACACGCTTGAACTGATGAAACGGGCCAATCTCAACAGATTGAATTGAACACCGTCGTCTGAATGTCACGGATATTCCCAGCCGAAGAAAGCACCGTTTATATCCTCGTCGTGTAAGACTTGCTCAGGGCCATGGCCTTCCTCCGCCGATACGACGCGCGGTAGCTGTACCGCTCGTACGTCCCGTACGCGTACGCGCCCACCCCGACCGCGACCCAGAAGCTCGTGATGACCAGGCCGATGGGGAAGATGAGGAGGTTGACGCCCGGCAGGATGAAGGCGACCCTGCCGTCCCGCAGCTCGGCCGTGATGTTCTGGACGGCGAGCGACGCGAGGTTGAAGGTCGACAGCACGACCTCCTTGGAGAAGATGCCGTTCACGAACGCTGCTTCGTTGGAGGAGACGTTGGTGGTGAGGCTCTTGCCCGTCACGTCCCTGGCCGTCAGCGTGAAGATGGGCATGATCAAAGGCTCTATTTTTTGTCTGGAGACCAGAGTTAGCCGGTAAGACGATGATTAGGAGCAATTCGGAGACATACATTGTCATGGGCGGTACCATTTGATCCTGGTTAATCCGGCCAACAATCATATAAGTCCGCTCCAGAGTTGGGCCCTGATCCTGACGCTTCGAGATTTGCTGTCTTCTTACGGCACGGCCCGCCACCTGCTGACCATTTATTTCAGAGGCGGTGGCCCCGGTAAATCTGATCCCGCCTTGCATATCCTGCAGAGTGATCCCTTCCCAAGCGCCCGAAGGCGGGGATACCTGGAAGAGGCGCAAATCGGCCATGAACTCGCCCAGGTTCGTATCTAGCTGGACAACGTTGTAGCAGACGGCCATACCGGAGGGGTTGCTAGCACTAGGGAGCGTCGAGAGTGTCGTCGTGCAGGCGGAGAGAGTATCGGAGTCCCACTGCGTCATATTTAAGGATACGGGCGTTGAGTCTTGCCGCCTTTCCAACGACTCGTAAGCCATCTCTTTGACCCTGCTCTCCAGAGATGGCGTCCTCGCCCCCAGGACACCTGCCATAATGCCGCCTGGAGCCGCGTGCACCTGTGCGGCAAGCAGGGACGCGACGGCGGTGGTAAGCCGAACCATGTTGGAAGCTTTTATAAATGTAAAGGTCGAAATTCCGTTTCGGGTGCCGACAAAGGTATATGAAATTATGTATCGTAAAATCCGGCCGGCGGTCGAGAAAAATCAGTCGCAACAGTAAAGGCAGTGGTGGTCCAAGGCCGGGTTTGCTAGACTCGCAGCTTGATCGAGTTCTAGGCCAACTGGCGAAGTTCGAGTGAACTGGCGGCCCAGCGCTGACACTGAGCAAAAAGCAAGAAGAGAAGGAGAGGAGGCCTGCCGGCAGGTAAGGAAAAAAACCAGTTGGCTTGGCTTCAAGCAAAGAGCGTAAAGGTTAATGATTAGGAGAAGTAAAGACGATAGTGAAGAACATTAAGGGACGGGCCACAAAAAGATCGGCGCATGAGGGCTATATGGCCACGAGTAGAAACGAAACCAGCCCAGCCAACTCGCCCGTCTTGTTGGTCACACTTCCCCATTCACGAATCACCCTCCGCCCATGGCCGTATCCCTAATAGGATCACACACCGGGGGACCAAACCATGATGACGTTTCGTTCCATCTTGTCAGAGAGCTATCAGGTGCTGCAGCGAGTCTAACGGCGCAGGCTGCCAAAAACGCAGCATGGCGGTGGGCCATCAGTCGATAGGACGATATCCTCGCCGGGGTGAGACCCGTGCTGGAACGTGTCGAGAGCCAGACCAGCACCAGACCAGCACCAAGTCGCGATGTCTGCGACATCGAGGCCCATGGTCATGACACGGCGGTGGAACAGCGCATTGGCTGGTAGCGCCCTTGGCGACAGGGCAGGTGTCGAGTTGGTCTCGAGTAGGTATCGAGCATGACATGATGGAAGGCTCAATTCGGCAGCGCGGTGGCCAGTGGCCAGTCTGGAAGCGGGCTAGCGACTGGCTCGGCTGGCTGGGCGGCGCGATCAGGCAAGTTAGCCGAGCGCATTGGAAACCGGCCGTTCTGACGTTGTCGGATCGACTGGCGATGTTACATGAATGGTCGGAGAAGTGGAGGGGCGACGGGGTTTCCAGGAGTCGCATGGGGAGGATTGGTCGAACCGATCGAGACATGGGACAGGGGGGGTGCTGACAGAGCGGCCAATCACGGTCGCCACAGGGCCACCCTTTCAGGCTTGGCCCGTCCCCGTCTGCCCCATCTCGGTCTCTAAGTGGTTTCGCTTCAACCCGCCGGCCGGGGGCTCAGCGCTTCACCACATAATATAGCAGGGGAAATGCTGGTATGAACGTCTTTTGCACATTTATCGGATGATGGCAGTCAAAACCAGATAGTATCGAGGATTTAGAAAGCTGGGTGTGCGTGCGTGTGCACGTAGCTTTTGGTGTATTGTATTCAAGGGAGACATACTCTTGGATAGGTACTAAGTAGATAGATCTTGGTCGACTTATATGTATATGAAGAGCCTAAGTAGGAGGTAGGCAGGCATACATACCCGACTATGCTATGGTTTGGATGATGCCCGGGGGCATGTCCCGAATATGCTCACCCCCGACTAGGTACTTAGATTATCATGGAGATCAGGGGAAAAGAAGGGGGAAGGGGAAAATAGTTTTATGGTTAAGAATCTTAAGATGCTCCGTAGTTACCTTGGATCAGAACATGTAAAGAGAAAGGGGACGAGGAATCCTTTTCTCACCATCCATCCCGTCAGGTCATACTAGTATCAGCCACTTCTTCTCCTTCTCGAGCAATGATCCCATGACATAATCATGTAATTGACCTAGCCAAGCAGGCGTATGCGGGTGCTATGGCCGATACCCGGCCCTTGCACGACCATCTGCAGGATGGGGTTTCTAATGGTGCACCACCGCGAATGAGACGCATAAACGCTCCGAGATGATATCTCGGTCTATGCTGCGGTGGCCTAGCCCTATATGCGTCAAGAGAATTTATAAATTGATTGATTGATTGATTCTCTTTAACGTCGGGGGCGGGGTATTCACCACAACACCAGACCTCCGTAGGGGTATAGGACGTGGTAAGCACCTGTACCTAAATACAGAGATACCATTTCGTGCCTCAAGACTTAACATATTATGGTTTATGGTCTCTACAACTAGATCCTCCAAACCCTGTTTTAATCCACACCTAAGTACCGCCTCGCCGCGCCCTCGAGATATTTGCTTTCTGGTATACCTCCATGGGGAAAACCCGTGGTGACTTGAATGAGTGCCAGTCCACCTCCTGCCCGCGTCCCGCCGTCCGCATGTACTTAGGTAGTTATGCACTCAACGCGTTCGTTGGCGCTGTCGAGCTCCGTACTCGCAAACGAGCTTCGAGCATAATTTTCTGTCCTCTTCCCAGTGGTATATTAGTGCGTGCAGTAAATCCCGCATACAAATTGTGCCAAGACTGGTAGTTGAAGAAGGGAAGTTGAAGAAACATTGACCCCGGCTGGATTCGAACCAGCGTCGCGGATTATAGACGATATCATACGCTAGGCTTGACCACTACCTCACAGGGTCCAAGAGAATTTATATCCCGTTCGGATATCCTACCAAAGCGCCATTTTACATTGCTTGCGATTCTGATTCTTTTTTGGGTCGGGGTTTTGGGGGTTTTGTGGCGTTCGCCATTTGTGTTAGCTCATTTTGTTGAGCTTCGCACCATCCAGTGGTGGGCATCGTGGGTCATGTTGGAGTCGAGACGGGAGCTTGAGCGAGCCTGAGCGAGCCAGTCCCGCCGGCACGGCTGTCCCCTTCGTCGCGTGAGATGTCTCGGGCGAGCGACTGGATTGATTGGTCCAGAGTGCTGAAGACGCCTAAAGGGTTAGCGCATTCGCCCCCCTGTGCAAATCTATGGGAAGACGGTGCCCAACACAGTCGAGTAAAGGCTGGATGCTGTAACTCAGTAGGTATTGTACAGTGATGTACCTACCGACAATTCTGTTTCCAATACCTCTGCCTAACGTGCAGAAGGTTAATTGGACGGCCAGCGATGTTGCGTCGAAACACACAGATGCGATTGAAATCATCCTGGTAGCATTGTAATTGCGATAAACTATCATAAATCTACCTATCTATCTCCTGCGAGAAAGCCAATCACCGCACCTCGCCTACCCTACCAATCACCCATAACAGCGATTGTCACAGATAGCACAGAAGCGTTCATGACATCCAGACCTACACACCTGATCGGTAACTCCGCCGAGGACATAATTGGAGTACTTAGGTAGGTATTGGTAAGCTTAGCTTCCTGCTCGATGAACGCCCTCCCGAATTATCGGGCGCATATCACCGGCAATCGAAGCGATGCCTGCCGGGACTTGATGCAACGGCATTGGGGGACTTGTAGCCTGCGTCCATCGTGCACTGGCAACCCTAACCAACCATTGGGACTGCCATCTCTCGTCTTTTCATAAGAGTCATCAGCCTGCCGAAGATATTCGGGCTTAAGCCCTTATCGCCGTTCAAAAGACGAGACTCAGTCAGCTTAGCCTTGGGACAAGTTGATAGACAATATTGATTACTTGATTTATAACTACCGAAGCTCGAAATGCTTGCATCTTTCCAGCGCCAACTGTGACTTGCATGTACTGGAACACTCTAGATGGACGTGGGACGACCTTTTCTGATTGCTCGCCTAACCGTATTATTCATCATCTAGAATCATTGTGCAGCAAGGGAGAACTCGACATACGATCATCGTATCGGCGTTCGCCTTGGGCGAAACCAAGTACCTAGTCTACTGGCTTGACCGGCCTCTACGGTGATGGGATGTATTATCTAGGAAGTGGAGAACAAAGGCTTGTTACGGCTCCGAGAGGGCCGGTGGATAACCCGTATTGCGTGGCCCTGTGGAGGGTAGTATGGCGATCTTCCCTCGGGCAATAGGTTAGGGTTTACGGGTCTACGGGTCTCTAATCTGATTAGTGACGGGAAATGCTAGAATATCAAGCAACGCACTAAGGTTACCTAAGGGCTGCTGACCAATCTGTGGCACGGTGAAGTAGCTGGAATGGAAGCACGGAATTCGGGTGCAGGAGTTCGTCGATGTGTCATCACGTCGCGACGGATGGGATCGGCGAAGATCGCTGTGGGTTGGCAGGGCTGGTAAGCTTTAGAAGCCCAGACACCACCTAAATTTCAGCCCTAAGGCGTGGGAGCAGCGTTTAAGAAGGTACTGATAATTATGCTTAAACCATTTTGGAGAAATCATGAACGGTTTTCTTTTCACATTTAGAGGTACACATGGTTTGCGAAATTCCATCTACACCTAACTAGGTACCTAGGCAGACTGTACAGGTTATTTACATACTATTTACTCTACACAAGGCAGAACTGAATACCTTCTGGGATTCTCTGTCAACCGCTCGTTCTTATGCGAGCCCCAGTGTCCGTCGCGTGAGCTCCCAGAGCCGGTTTTCTTTCGCCTCATCATAGGCATACGGCCGCACGCCCATCATAGTCTCGATCAGCGGCTCCGAGGTGGCGACCCGACAATCTTCCAGGTATTTGCCGCCTTTGCCCTCCCATTCCTTGCTGACGGCAGCGAGCACAGTGGTCGCCGCGCCCTGCTCGGTACTCTTCAGGAAGTGGAAGATGTCCGGCGTCTCGGTCCACCGCTGCGTTTCCTCCTTGGGGACGTGCTTCTGGAGTCCGGTCAGGATGCCTCCAGGCATCAGACTCAGCGCGTGCAGGCCGGACGGGCCGAACTCGCGATCAACGTAGTTGGCCATGTAAATCTGCGCGAGTTTGCTCTGTCCGTATGCTTTCCAGGGGCTGTACGCGTCTTGTCCTTGGAGCTGGAAGTCGTCGAAGACGATCTCCGACATGTGGTGGCCCGAGCTTGAGACGTTGACAAGCCTCGAATTAAATTCCGACGTCGACCCTTTTAATAAGGCGTCCTTGAGCAGATCAAATAGCAAGAAGTGACCGAGGTAATTGGTAGCAAGCTGCATCTCGAAGCCCTCGCCAGTTTGCTCGCGAGACGGGACCTGCATGATTCCAGCGTTGCAGACAAGGACGTTTAGCACGGGAGATCTCTGCAAGAAGCTGGCAGCGGCAGACCTCACAGAGGCAAGATTGCTCGTATTCAGCTCAAGCAGCTCGACGCGCCCGGGCTCGAGAAACGATGCGCACGCGGCTTGGCCCTTCTCCAAGGAACGGGTGGTGAGGAAAACCCTGGCCCCCGTGGCAGCAAAAGCGCGGCCGGTCTCGACGCCTATGCCTGACGATGCTCCGGTAACGAGGAAGACCTTGTCTTTCATATTCCCTCCAAGGCCTTCGTCCTCGATGATCTGTAGAGCGGTAGGGCGGGCATCGCCAGGCCCAGAAGGGCTTTGATGGGAGGCAGTGTACCGGGACATTTTGCAGGATGGTTGCTACAGAACGGCGATGAGATATGACTTGTGAGCTCCAAGGAAGAAGACAATGTTGCTCTGGAGTCGGAAGCCAACTCTATTGATTCGCTTCCCTTTCAGTGCTTTATATGTCCACGATTTATCTTAGTTTTAAGGCTGCCTAACTATCAAAGCGGTGGATACGATAGTCGTACATGCACGAGCCGGCATTGAACGAGGTAAATCCGGTAAACCCTATTATTGCATCTGGCTATCGGAGAGGTTAATACAATTGTGGAATCTTCATCTCAGTTATGAGAGTGCTCAACTATCAAAGCGGCGGATACAATAATTGTCGATGCACGAGCCGGCATTGAACGAGGTAAATCCGGTAAACCCGATTTTTGCATCTAACTATAGGGGAGGTTAATACAATTGTGGAATCGGGGACTATCGTGAGGCGCTTGTCGACTGTGAAGCTATCCTAAGTTGGATCAATTGCCGCCCGACCGGGCGCCCGGTTTGTCATCGGGCCCGAATAGAAGTCAAACGTGGAAGCGGAATCACAAGCCTTTACTAAACAGAACCACGGCGCACGTAATAACTCGGTGTGATTGAGGGGGTGTTTTGCCAATCTCAAGGGCAGGGACCCCTCTTTATAATGGCATCACGGATTTTCAATGGGAAAGGTAATGCTGCCCAACAATATAGCGTGCTCCGTGATCGCCGGTGTGGCTACTCCAATACTTTTACCGTCTGTCCTTCCCGAGGCTCCATCAGCACGTGGCTAAATCGCTCTCCGGCCCAATACGGACACACAATATGTCGCATCTGGCCGCGCTCGGCACGTGTTCGGCGCGCGAGCTTATCGGCCGAAAAAAAAAGAAGAAGCCACACTAGATGGGAACACCGCGGTGATAGACCGTAGCTCATGTCAACGCGTCCTCATCATGACCGTTCTCTCGAGAGGAGGCGGTGATAGGAAGCGCCGGTATCCATGCAGTTACCCACCTGTCAAAGTCAACCATCCCTCCCTGTGTGACGCATCATTGCCATGCATGCTCGCTGACGCAACACCGCGCAGATTTTGACTTTGCGCCGTCTGGGCCGGTGTGAGGATGGGGGAACCTATGATATCAGGAGCGCCTCGCTCTTCGGCTACTGCCAACCGAAGATATGGGAGTGGCTACAGACGTTACATTACCTGCAGCCACGGTTTTCGCCCATGGAACCGCGCCGCGGCTTCATTTGGCGGGCTGAAACACTCGCATTTTCTGATTAGTTGGTTAGTTGTTTAGTTAGAGTTGGGGCAGTATAAGAACGAAGCAGGAGCCTCTAGTAGTATAATCGATTTTCGAGTTGCCGCAGCTGGAAACATACACGGTACTCAACTAGTTTGATAATCCTATCATAGCCTACTTTCCCAGACCGAACCGTCCCCTTTAGCGACATACCCCCGTCCCGAGTGTTGTCGTAGCCATCATGAATGGTAACACATACAAGACTTCAAGCACCGGTGCCCAGCAAGACTTCGGCCGTCGCCTGGTACCCCATGTCGTCGATGATATCGCATCCAGAGACCCTCAGCGCGAATGCTTTTCTATCCCACGGACCTCTGACCCAAAAGATGGCTGGAAGGTGGTGACGTTCAAGCAATACGCCAATGCCATCAACCGTGGCGCCCAGAAGATCATTGCAAACAGTGGCCTCCCGCCCGTCGATTCCTTCCCCACCATAGCCTACATTGGGCCCAACGATGCCCGCTATGTTGTGTTCATGCTGGCTGCCGTCAAGGCCGGATATAAGGTGAGAAATATAGCGCACCACTCCGGGAGTGACATCGATTCTGACGAGACAACAGGGTCTCTTCATTTCCCCTCGCAATTCTCAAGAAGGGCAGTTGAGTCTTTTCGAAAAGACCGACTGCCGCATGCTTTACTTCGCAAAGACCCACCGTAAAATGGTACAGCCCTGGCTGCATGAGCGAGACATGCAAGCCGTCGAGGTTGGCCCCATCGAGACCTGGTTCCCGGAGGAGGACGTGGAGCCGTTCCCCTATGAGAAGACCTTCGAAGAGGCCGAGTGGGAACCGCTCTGCGTCCTCCACACCAGCGGCTCGACTGGTATCCCCAAGCCCATCGTTGTCCGCCACGGCATGATGGCGATCAGTGACAAGTACCGTGG